AGTATGAGCTGCGCAAGAGTGTCTGTGCGTGTAGCTGTGAGAAACAAATCTGGAGATAATCTAGAAGTGGATAATTAATGGTAACTTGGTACCTTCTCAAGCTGACACAGGGCCTCTGAAAATTGGTGGCCGGAGATGAAAACTGGGGGAGTCTGGCGCAAACTAGAAGCTGGGGACTGAGAGAAGAGAGAGAAATAGATAAATTTTAAGGCGCTAGGGATTTGTCAGTCGGGTCGGGCGTTGCAAAACGGACAATTTTCGGGTCATCCATTTTAGAATGTGATTTGATTATAAATTATTGGTCATCTCAACTCAATATATAACTCAAAATTAACTAACTCAAACTTTCATTAATATTATTAATATAATTAAATAATATCAATTAATCATCCTCACACATCACATCAATACTAATTTATTATTTAACCATTCACATAATTTTAACTATATATCACTCTCAATGACATCTTTCATATTTTTACATCAAATCAACTTTACTCATTTTATCTTAAATATTATTTAATACAAACTCGAAATTCTACTCAAATCTTAACTCAATGGACATTTTAAAAATTGGTTCTAGTTATCCAATCAATCCAACATAACTTATGTCCAATCACCTCTTATGTACCTAGAGCACGTTTGTTTGGCCGGACTTGATTGGACAATTTTTATCTTGTGACCCAAGATTGTACTGTTGAGACTATGTGCAATCTATGTTTGTTAAACAAGATTGCTCCAAGATAGGATTTTGTTGATTTTTGTATTGCACATTTGTTTTCCTAGATAAGATATATGATAAAAATTGCGAATTACCAATATGCCCTAGTTTTAAAATATATATTAATAATCCCAACAATCCCACCACACTTTTTTACATTTTCTTTTTTTTGTACATCACTGTTGAAAGAAAATAGAAAACAACAAAAAAAATAATATGATAAAGAAAAAGAAAATGCAGCATGCATAGTGAATATACTTGAAAAAAATACCGATGAATAAATGATCAAATACAATATTCCTATGAATTACATCAGTACAGAAGTAAAACTTTTATTCAACAAAATTAGCAAGGTCATTCAGTCATAACTTGAAAATTGGCAAAAAAAAACAAAACAAATCTTTGGCCAAATTGTGCATTTTTACAGAAGCCCTCATCACAAAAAACTATCAGCTTTTGTTGTTCGCAACAATGAGGTTAATTTGCTCAATTGTCACCTCAAGAAACATAATCAAAATAATCCCTCTCACAGTAGTATTTAATCCCAAATTAAGTTTGGTGTCTCTCTCAATCTTCACCAAAGTTGTTCAAAACGTCTCCCTTTAGCTGCAAGAAAATCACCCCAAGATCAACAAGTAGCTACAGTAGCTGCAGTAAGAGACAAAAACACCAATAATGGCATGTTATCTCCTTTCAATATCAAAATAACCAACTAACTCCCTAGGAACCATATCACCCTCTTGGTCCTTTACATCGTAAATTTGTCTATTCTAGCAAAGAACAATCTCTCTAGGTCTGAAAGTATCAACTCAATCAAAAGTATGCACAACGAGTATAAACAAACAAAATAAACGTAAGTAATAAACACCAAAAAAGTAATAAATGTTTAAAAAAAATCAATCAATCACAGGATTCCATAATACTCAATCCCTCTAGTAATTCTTGCAAAATGCATCACAATTTGATATTTGAGCACCACAAGATCACAAAATGAGAAACAAGCATTTGCACATACTCCAATATTGACATACACGAGAGACCAAGCTAATTAATTCCAATTGACAAATACACATTTCATGACAAGAATTCAATTGATAAACAACAAATGCAGGACAATTTGATCCCTAATTTCACCCACGCATAGAATCAAACGAAACTGATACATGAGCACTGTCAACTTTTTCAGAAGAATAAAAAAAGGTGCATAATCAGGTTGAGAACTCACATTGCAGCAAAGGAAGCCACCCATCTATGTATTCAAATGAAATTAATACAGTAAATACTCTCAACTTTTAATTCCCGTACAAAAGCCCATCCTCTCGACCACCCTCCAGTCCTCCTCCCCCAGCTCCGCCTCGCCCTCTCCTTCTTCCTCTCCCCCGCCCTCCTCTCCTACTACCTCGTCCTCGACGGCACCACCATATCCTGTCATATTACCTCGTCCTCGACCAAGCGGCCGCCACCGACATCGCCCAGTGCCTCCACCCGGACTGGTGCAACGCCCTCGAGAAGCCCTTCCTCTGGCTCGGCAACCCTCCACCCACACTTTCTGAAACCCTAGAACAAAAAAATAAATGGAGCAAATTTCTTGATAATTTTCTTTTACCTAGTTGAGGCCTACTTCCTCTCTATGTCGCTACTCCTCTACCGAAATCTACGCCGCCGCTGATTTTTACTATCTCCATCTTACAATCGATCGAACACAAAACCGTGGATCTCTTGGACACAAATTGCAAAATAAAGGGAATTAAAACATAATTAGAAAAAAGGGCAGTTTCAATTTGCAGAGGTGATGAACATAAGATTAGGAGTGGAAATAATTATAAAAAAAATAGGAAGAAGAAGAAAGATAGGATGGAGAAAATCTGAACGGGGTGTAGAAGAGGGACTAGGATGGCATGAGTAATTTTGGCAACAAGAGAGGTTAATATGGTCATCAAATTTTACTTTAAGGGAGATATTTGTAATTTTGTTTATTATTTACTGTACAGACCAAAGTTATCATACCCCTCAGCCAAGATCAGTTAGTCGTGATTTTCCACGATTATAACACTGTTCATCGCGGGCCTTATCTTATCATGCGGGCCGGAATCGTGGAAAACAAACATGAGATTAAGGGTGGATTGGAGGTGTAATCTTGTCCTATCCGGGATAACAAACGTGCCCCTAGTTGACTAGTTGACTAGTAGTTCACAAGGATACCTAGTTGACTAGTTCATGACCTAATACTAGAGTTGTTAAACGAGATGATATTCGTGAGCTCAACAGCCTCATCTTAGTTTGTTAAGGCTTGAGTTTGAACTCGATTTATTAAAGCTCAAGATCGACTCGCAATGGCTCAAATTCAAGATCGGCTCAATTTCTGGCTTGGTTACTTAACGAGCCTAACTCGGCTTGGCTCGTTTATAACTCTACTAATGAGCTATATTTTATTTTGTAGCAACTTAAAAATGAGTAGTAGAGATCCAATCATGCACACAAGTATTCTTGTATGTATTAGCCGGCATGACCATTAGACGGATCGACCTATTATACTATTTTAATAAAAAAACATATTTATATTATGAAATTTCACTTTTTATAATTTTTTTTTTTAAATTATGGATGTTGAAGTTTGAACATGCTTATTTTTGAAAAGTATAATTATCTAATTTTTGTTGTATCAGTCTAACAGAAGCTTCAGTGCCAAAAAAATACTCGAAATGTAGATTTATTTTAAAAATGCATAATGGCCATGTAAAAAATTATAAATTAAATGATTACACAGTAATTATAAATTCAGAAGGTTAAAATAATAGTGATTGCACTAATTTGTTTTTTTATTCTTTTTTTGTATAATGCTGATCAATCTATTGTTAAAATTATATAATTGAAATTGCAGTGAGAAAAAGTAAAATAAGTGAATAATTTAATTTTTTAAAGTGTAATTTCAATTATAATTTAATTTTTTGTATACTTTGAATGAGATACGTGGCTATCATGGATTCGCTAAGTCCCGGAACATAGGCGTTTGTAGGACGCAGAAAAAATAATACGCGATTACTGAAAGAGAATAAAAAAGGATTGAAATTACTGATCGGAGAAAAATGGCTAGCGCCGGCGGTGGTGGCGGTGGCGGAAAGGTGTCCTTCAAAGTTACTCTAACCTCCGATCCCAAACTTCCTTTCAAAGTGTAAGCCTTTTTTTTCACAATTCTTAAACAAAATCTCAACTTGTTTGAAACCTATGATTATATTGTCCTTTTCGCTTGTTAAAATTGGAGAACAGATTCAGCGTACCGGAGGCGGCTCCGTTCACGGCGGTTCTGAAATTCGCCGCCGAAGAATTCAAAGTGCCGCCGCAAACCAGTGCGATCATTACTAATGGTGTGAATCTTTTATACATCGTCTGACTTTTGTTAATCTCAATTTATCAGTTTCTTTTTTCATGAATCTTTGTAAATCCTAATTTATCATTTTTTTTCAGTCGACTAACGATTAGGCGGGTCCCGTCATATGAACAAAACAATTTATGTTGTTTCTTAAAGTATACCTTTTTTATATATGCATACTTATATAAGACTTTGCCTAATATAAGACTTTACTGTTTAAAGTTCGAATCTTTCATTGAATTGCACATGATATTGTGAAGTTTGAAGGCCCCAAAGAAAATTTTGAGTCTGTTTGGTTAATCTGAATCTGATATTGAATTGCACATGATATTGTGAAGTTTGAAGGCCCCAAAGAAAATTTTGAGTCTGTTTGGTTAATCTGAATCTGATTGTTGTGTTTCTTTGGTTATATGCAGATGGAGTGGGAATTAATCCTCAACAGAGTGCAGGTATTTTAGATTTTACTTCATTAACTAGTTTTCTTTTTTATTTTAGTGTTTATTTCTGTTGGGTTGCTTAATTGATCTGAGGTTGAGGATAGACTTGCACTGCTTCTTTTGGCTGCTTAGAGAATGTTAATATGTTATGGTTATGGTTTTCTGTTTCATACAAATTTTGCCATCAGTTTAGAAAAGAAAAGAATGCTTTTCTGAAGTTTCTGGTTGAACTCAATGTCAGCTTGTATCCTTTTGCATCGAAACTAAAAAGACTAACGGCTAACAGAGTATTGCAATAACATAAGGTTGTTTCCTTTTTTGATTTTGGAAACTAACTAAACTTTCGTTCTTTTTTCTTTTCGTAATTAAGCTAAACCTCATGGGCGACATTTATGGTTCAACCCTTATTTATGTCTGAAAGCACCATATTGTATATATATGCACAGTTGAAGATTCTCTACAATTTTCCAGCTTCGTTTGAATTTGATATTATGTTAGTTGTCTGCATATATCGTATAACTAGTCAAACAAATTCTAGTGTCTTGCTATTTGTTTCAACATTCTATGAATATATTTAGATTCTGATGTCTGTTTGTGATTACCTTCATTTTCCATTTGGCTTTCATTCAGAAGTCCGAGTTTTCTGCATAATTTTATGTCTGATTTGAAATCTTGAATTGGTATTTTTTGAACTCTGATGAATCTGAATGATTTTCTCAGGGAATGTGTTTCTTAAACATGGCTCAGAACTTCGCTTGATCCCCCGTGACAGGGTTGGTGGATTATTGGTTTCGGGCAAAGTTTAGACCTTTTTCTCTTTTATTTTACTTTTCCTTTTTTTTTTTGTTCATCCAGCTGTTTTTACAACTAGCAAACATGGTTGTAAAACTATTTGACAAGTTTGGATTCTGGAATTTATGTTTTGATAATATATATACCTGAATTATGCTAATGGATCATGGACAAGTGAATCAATTATACTGCTGATTGGTGTATGTAAAATCCATGGGGGACATTGGACCACGATGAACCCCTGGATTGTGGTACTACTAAAATTCCGGGGATGAATAGATTATGATTCTTTTTTGTTTTTTTTTTTTTTTTTA